GAGGATCTGTTGTGTATGGCTGTCTGAGAGAGAGGTGTGTGTGTGTGAGAGAGAGAGAGGGGGTGTGCGTGTTTGTGTTGTGTGTGGGACGGAGAGAGAGAGAGAGAGCTGTGCACGCGTGTGTGCGAGTGAGAGAGAGAGGAAGAGAGAGAGAGAGAGAGAGATGTGCGCGCGCGCGCGTGTGTGTGTGTGTGAGGGAGAGAGAGAACCAAAGAGGGAGTGTATGTGTCAGAGAGAGAGAGAGGTGTTTGTGTTGTGTGTGTGACAGAGAGAGAGAAGAGAGAGAGAGAGAACCAGAGAGGAGTGTGTATGTTGTCAGCGAGAGGAGAGAGAGAGAGAGAACGAGAGAGAGCGAGGTGGTGCACCAGGCGTGCGGGCGTGTGCGAGTGAGAGAGAGAGGAGAGGTAAGAGCAGATCGCTGGCTGTGTGTGTGTGTGTGTCTCTGTGTGTGTGTTGTGTGTGTTGTGTGGTGTGTGTGTGTGTGTCGTGTGTGTGTGTGTGTGTGAGGGAGTGCAAACGGCAGAGAGGGAGCTGTGTATGTGTGCAGAGAGAGAGAAGGAGAGAGAGAGAGGTGGTGCGCGCGCGCGCGCGCGTGTGTGTGTTGTGTTGAGGGTGGAAACCATAACGTTTGGCACGCTGACAAAAAGCCGTTGGGCCCAACGTCTGGCCAAAATGAGTTGCGCCAACGTTGGCATATGACGTTTGCCGCCAAGTTGCAGTATGACGTTGGGCCAACGTTCAGGCAATATGACGGTTGGGACCAAACGTCTGCCAGTATGACGTGGGCGCCCAACCGTTGGCAGTTATGACGTTGGGCCAACGTTGGGCAGGTATGACGTTTTGCGCCAACACGTTTGCAGTATGAACGTTTGCGCCAACGTTGGCAATGATGACGTTTGGGCGGCCCAACGTTTGGCAATTATGACGTTGGGCCAAGCGTTGGCAATATTGACGTTGCGGGCCAACGTGTGGCAATACAGTGACGTTGGGCCAAGCGTTGGCAATATATGACGTTGGGCAACCGTTGGCGCCAACGTTGGGCCTAACGTCCGGGCTGCCAACGTTGGGCCAACGTTTGCCCCAACGAGCAAAAATCCGTTGGGCCAAACCGTGTTGGCAGCCAACGTTGGCCCAACGTTGGCCATGGGCTGAAGACGAGCGTTGGGCACAACGTTGGCCCAACCGTCAGAAGCTATCTGGATAATGTTACAGTGCCTAGGCAAATACCTATCTGGACTCGGAGTTCCAGCAATTACCATCTGCGGACTTGCGAGCCTATAGGCTAAATACCCATGCTGCGACTCCAAAGTTCCCAGGCAAATACCATCTGGACTTGGAGTGCCTATAGGCAAATACCATCTGGACTCGGAGTTCCCAGGCAAATACCATCTGGACTCGGAGTGCCTAGGCAAATACCATCTGGACTCGGAGTGCCTAGGCAAATACCATCTAGACTTGGAGTGCGTAGGCAATTACCATCTGGACTCGGAGTGCCTAGGCAAATACCATGCTGAGACTCGGAGTGCCAAGCCAATACTCATCTCGACTCGGATCAACGTGACTAAGGGCACATTAACCATCCTGGACTCGGGAGCACCCAGACAATTAAATACCATCTGGACCTCGGAATACGAGTGACTAGTGCGTGCGTGTGAGCGCGTGTACGCGCGTGTATGCGTGTACGCGCGTATATATATATATATGTGGGTGTGTGTGTGCGTGCGTGTGCGTGCGTGCGTGCGTGTGAGCGCGTGTATGCGTGTACGCGCGTATATATATATATGTGTGTGTGCGTGCGTGTGTGTGTGTGTGTTTGTGCGCGTGCGCGCGTGTGTGTATCTGTGTGCGTGTGCGTGTGTGTGTGTGCGCGTGCGTGCGTGCGTGCGTGCGTGCGTGTGTGTGGGTGACTTATACGCGTAGATCCAGCTTAGTAGTTACATTCTTTTAGTGGTACAGATGTTGGCTATGGTCTTTGCGTGGACGATGCATGGCATCATGCACATATATATATGCAGGTAGGAATTAAGGCGCAGCTTGGTTTAGGTACAAGTCATAAGGCTTCATGGTGTGTAGAGATATATGTCTAGGGAGGAGAGTGTGTAATAGCCTCTGTACATAAAATTGATTATTCACTTGAAGTCTCCTAATTGTTCTGAATTTGTTGAGCGTTTCTTCGTTTCTTAGTTTGAAATGTTTTACATGAGCCGTACGCCTCTGACTGAAGTTGACGCCCCTCCGCGTGCAATGTAATTGTGCTTGTCACGTATCTTTGGCACAGACATACTGGCAGCCGCAGCCGTTCCGGGCAGCCGCCAGACCAGGCATACAACTCAAACTAATCAACTCGCAGACAGGACCTGGCGAGATGTTACGCAATGCCCTGTGGCACACGGGAGACACACCAAACCAGGTTTGTTTGCAGTGGAACGTGAGTTGTGACGTGCTAAGCGATATTGTTGGTATAGGCAGCTGCTGAGAGGAGAATGCTTTTGTTACTGCAACGCACATAAACTTTAAATAAAATGAGAAGAGAATTTATAGAAGAAGTAAGAAGGACGTTTGGCGAGGGTCCTAAATGTATTTCTAATAGTAAATTACTAATGAGTGATGCCATTGGTGCCTGCACGCGCAGGTGAAGCTGCTGTGGGAAGACCCTCGGGATATCGGCTGGCGGTCACACACAGCGTACAGGTGGGAGCTGATACACAGACCAGATCTTGGGCTCATCAGGTATCTAGATTCTGGATCTGTTAGATAGGGAACTGAACTGAAGTGTATTAGACGCAACGGAATCGTTTATCGTCAATTCCAATTTGTTTGGTACCGGTGCTCTCCTTTTCTTCTCATGTCCTTGTGTGTATCACCTTATCACCCGCACTACCCTCACCTGCAGCGTAACAACCTAACTGCTGCACACTAGCCCGTCCCATTAGCAGATACTAGCTACTGCGTGTACCTGTGCCCAGCCTTACAGGTGACAAAATTCAGTATTGTGATTTGGGAGTATGAAATCGAATGGAAATGGAATCATCGAGTATAAGCCTAGTTTAATGTAAATCATATAGAATTGAAGTTAACGGTTATATTGCGCAATTGGGAATGCTGTTGGGAGTTGAAGAACACTTGAAGTACAGTCAGTATTCTGCAGGGTGAAGTTCTACGAGGGAGCGCAAGAGGTGGCTGATACCGGGAACATCATTGACTTCTCCCTGAAGGGTGGTCGTCTTGGTGTCTTCTGCTTTTCACAGGAGCAAATCATCTGGTCGGATCTGGTCTATCGCTGCAATGGTAAGGCAAACTTGTCTACACAGCAAGTGTCTTAGCAGACAAGCGGATAACGAGTAAAAATAACAGTGAGAATGTAATAGGAGTAAGAGTATGAGAAAAAGAATTCTTGCAGAAAGGAGATACCAATTTAGAGATTAGAATTGAGACAAACACGCGTGCGTATGTGCGCGCGCGTGTGTGAGAAAGTTACAAGCAGAAAGACAGATGGAGAGCAATAGAAAGAGAAAGAGAGAGACAGATTTTATTTCGATAATTAATTATCTAAAATGACCAGGAGCATATAATATAGCATTAGTTATGTAATTGCCACACTGTTATTTTCTACGTGGCATTCGTTCAGACTAACCATATGTACAAAATATGTATGGGTGACATGTTATCTGCATGAATTGCTGATTTGTTGCTTTTCAGACGAGCTACCCCGTGTTGTTACCATGAAGGAGATCAGAAAGTTGCATCGCATGCACCGAGCTAACAATGCTAGAAGCAGTGAAGGCGTGGAGGAGGTAGAAGAGAAAAAGCTGGAGCAGAGAAGGGAGGACGAAAGAGAGGAAGAAGAAGAGATTATAGCAGACAACGTGTAGCAGGGCTCTAGTTAGAGAGATTAACAGAATGCCGTGGTGGATTAATCAGAAGAGAAAAAACGCGTGAAAATTAAAAACCCTTTATATTATTTTTAATGTTATATCTTAGTGTGCATAATATGCATGGGTAGATGAATCACTGCACTAGATTAGCCCGTTTGACTATATAGTCCATACGTGAAATCTGTCAGTCTGAAGTCAGTAGCAGTGATCAAGTATAATGTTTATAGTGATATAATATTGATCATGTATATTGATCATAATATGTTATATATATTGATCATAATATTGATTAACATGACACGAGAATTGGTTAGTCTGCGATTGAGAAGCATATCTCATATCATGTTAGTGCACTAAACAATTATGTATGGCAATTAATGTGGTAATCTAAATATGCAGTTTAACACATCAAAAGCTAGCAGCACACTTCACCATTTTCGTTGCTCATACAGGCAATTTTTGTGGCCGTTGCCGCGTCACAGCACACTTCACCACAAGTTGCCACCACGAGCAATTTTCGTGGTGAGAAATCAAACCGGTTTGATTCTCGGCAACTCGTGGTCACCACTAAATTTCCGTGGTGAGTGGTCGTTGCCGGCCCCCGCACACTTGGCCATTTTTGTGGCGATCACGAAAATTGCCTGTACGAGCAACGAAAATGGTGAAGTGTGCTGCCTGCTTAACACCATTGTCCACCTATATCGTACACAGTGACCAAGCCAAATATGCACACATTTTGTATGATATGTTAAAATGCGGAATCGTGTATTAAAACTTATTATATTGTTCTAAATGAGCTGGATTTTAATTCATGTTAATATATTATTATTCGTAACATCAGAAAATCGAAAAACTACAGCGCAATTGTCGTGTCGTAAGCCCGAACCTAGAGGCACTTGAATTAGGGCCAGTAAAGCAAATAAGGTCGTGCCTTTGCAAACACCAGCCAGATTAGACTTTGTGCTCTGTACGCAATGTATCAACTTCCTCGCGTAATAAAAATTCGTCTGCAATGCTAGCTGGTCCCGCCGCTCACCGCTGTGAACGAGCCGACACGGATGGTTACAGCTCGCTAGTCCGACGGCCCAATAGTCCGAAAGCCCACTAGTCCGAAAGCCCACTAGTCCGAAAACCCACTAGTCCGAAAACCCACAGGGGATGGGGTACCGATCTATACCTAATGTTTAATTAATTAATTAATAAATAAATTAATTTGGTATTTGTTTTATTTTTCATTTTAAATGTTTTTTTTTAATGTTTTTTTAGGGGATGTAAGGGGAGGTGTGTGGGGGGAGCTAAGTGTTTGGATGTGTAGCAAAATTGTACACTACGGTAAAACCTCGTTCTACCGCCCTTCGTAATACTGCGCCAATCTCAAATATTGCCAACAGCTTTATGGCTATGTACAATGCTATAAAAAAACGCATTCAGTAGAACATGTGCGACTCACTGCGACTGCGCTGCGACTGACAATTTTCCAGTCGCATACCCGTCGCTGACAGTCGCAGGGGTGCTTATGTCGAACTCACTCTGCGACGCGATCGTCGCTGCGACTTGCGACTTTTGGTTGCTCGTCTCTGCAACCTGCAACCGCATGCGATCGGTCGCACGCTTCACCGTGTGTATGCGATTTCGAAGTAATTTCGACTGCGATTCTGGAATCGCAGCCGAGTTGGTCCTCTTTTGGTTCAGTCCAGATGGTAATTGCCTGGGAACTCCGAGTCCAGATAGTATTTGCCTAGGCACTGTAACTAACTTGTGTGCTATTTTTTCAGTGACGGGGATGGGATTCAGAACAACCTGGATAATTGCCGAATGGTGCCTAATGCCAACCAGCTGGACACTGACGCAGACGGCATTGGTGAGCTTGCACCAAACAATAGAACAGCAGTGCGCACATCTCGCCAACTTAGCAGCCCTCTAGCATGATCTGTCTTTCTTTAAGAATGAACAACGTAGTGATGATTCTCACGTTTAGCTCCACCACTCTACCACAACACGCCACTTGACGCTGACCGTGACACGTGACATGCGGGTGACTGCACTGATGCATGATGATGCTTCTCCAATTATCACCTATATGCATGTCAGACAGATTACTACAGTATTTCTCAGCCAAACAACGAGTAAACAATTCGATTGCTCTGTGATGAGTAATTAAGTTGTTGTTAATTGCAGGAGATGCGTGCGACAATGATGACGATAATGATGGCATCCGCGATCGCAGAGACAACTGCCCCCTAGTGGAAAACCCGGGTCAGGAGGACGCTGATGGAGACGGCATTGGAGACGCATGCCAGAATGATAACGATGCCGATGACGTCATTGACACGTATGATGTCTGTCCTGACAACAAAGAGATTCACACCACAGACTTCCGCACCTTCCAAACTGTTGTGTTGGATCCAGAGGGGGAGTCACAAATTGACCCCCACTGGGTGATCCTTAACCAAGTAAGCCATTCTTTTTATGGCAATAAAGATTTTACGTACATTAAAGTATACATGTATTAGTAGCATATATTAGTGTATGCACACGCACATACACATTCATATATGAATGTTATTAGAAAGTATGCCAGCAGTTGGTTGGTGACATCTATTGGCAAGCCTTCCAACATGTCAACGTTTAGCAATCAGTTCTCTAATGCACCTCGGTACATCATGAGATTGTTTAGTAGGGGGACTTAATTGTTTCTGGCATTTATTCTCAATCACACTTAATCATGTTAGCAATGCCAGATAGAGCATATGGGACATACTTTTGCTCATCTAGCCAAGTTGCACTGAACTGGTTAATCAAATATATACCGTGCGTTCTGTTGATCGTTAACCAAGTAGCTGCAAACTAAATTAGAATGTGTCACAAGTCACAAATTCGCACATTCTCAAGACTGCAAATAAAGCCATAGTAAAGAGAGGGGATCATGAGATGCACTTTGGCACACTCAGTTTAGACCTGCTGAACCCTGCCCACCGACAAGGTCTGGCTGGGACATTTCAACTCGCAGCTTGCGACACACACGTTTCGACGTTTGGCAGCCCGCACAAACCGTATTCGCCGCGGCCCGCGCAAACCGTATTCGCTGCGGCGCGTACAAACCGTATTCGCTGCGGCGCGTACAAACCGTATTCGCTGCGGCGCGT